AGTCAATCCAATGTGATATTGGAAAAAGCAACAGGTTTTCCATTGAAAAATTGCAAAGTAATGATAAAATGGTGAAATATTACACTGGTTTTGAAAATTATGACCATTTCATGATGTTTTTTCAAGTACTTGGTCCTGCAGCACATGATTTGAATCTAAAAAGCAACTTACTTTCCCCTCAAGACCAGTTCTTTTTAGTTATGATAAAACTAAGACAAGCTAAAGAAGACATTGAGTTGAGTTATTTGTTTCAAGTCAGTGAAAGTACTGTTTCAAATATTATTGTTACATGGATCAATTTTATGTACTTCCAACTTAAAGAGATTAACATTTGGCCCTCGAGATCTGTAATTGATGAATATATGCCTGATGACTTCTTTGCAAATTTCTGCAAAACTAGAGTGATAATTGATGCCACTGAGGTACCAATAAATAAGCCCCAGAATGTAAATGCCCAGAGTGCTACATTTTCGAATTACAAGAATAAAAATACACTAAAGGTGATGATTGGTTGTACACCACATGGAACTGTCAGTTATATTTCCGATGCATACTGTGGTGCTACAAGTGACAGACAAATTATTGAACGTTCTGACTTACTTAGAGACCTTGACAAATTCCAAGACCATGACAGTATAATGGCTGACAGGGGTATCATGGTCCAGGATTTGTTTGCCCCTCGTAACATTCAGGTCAACACTCCAACAATGTTGAAAGGAAAAAGCCAACTTGAGGCACAAGATGTTGTTAAAGACCGAAGAATCGCATCAAAGCGAATTCATGTTGAAAGAATCATTGGACTGGCCAAGACTTTCAAAATTCTCAAGAAAGAGCTACCACAGGGCAAAGCCATTTTAGGCTCTAGAATAATTTTTATTTGTTTTTCAATACTGAATTTTAGACCTTGCATCGTTGACAAATATTCATAATAATGTACTACCATTCAAATGAATATTATTTAATACATGTTGTAGAATAAAAACAATGATTTAAGTTACACTTGCATTATTCAATCTAACATTTTCACATTGTACTCAATTAACTGTTGTTTCTTACATAATTTTGTCTTAAAGCAGCAAGTGGATACATCTTTATAATTATCTCTATACACCTCTTCACCTCTTCACAAACCATTAATAACTTAATAAACATTTCTCTTGAATTATTCTAAATTCCAGGATGACTACTGAAAATCTACATTTTGTAATATAGAACCATAGTTTCAATGGTAAAAAAATGTTATCCATTACAACAGTGCACTATAATGACCATGTTAAGTTTAGATAAACAATCAAAATACTGTGCTGATCTTAACAGATGTAAAAGGCTTTTCTAAAAAGAAAACCTGCAAATATCATCATATTATCCATATAGAAATGAACAATTTATGTACAAGTCTTCACAGAAAAAGCTTAAACTGCAGATTTATGACATCAATTTACAATTTTTCAGCAAGAAATTTTCTGTAGTGTTTTTTATAAAACAACTCTAACTTTGGTAGCATGCAACCACAGAAGTAGTCTCTATCAACATTGATTTCTTCCACAAAAATATCTACAAATGTGTAAACAACAAAGAAACACTTCTCTTTTTTACAAACATTAAGCTGCCCTTGCACCTGCATATAATAATTATGATTCTGTTTTAAATGCAATACACCATCATCATCCTCTAGCAAGAATGGGAAAAACTTGTCTGCAGCAATCTTACGATCTCTACCCTTATATGGACATTTAATTTCAACAATAGCATTTTCTCCAATAATGCCATCGGGCGAAGCAGCCAAATAATTGTTCTCCGAGTCTATGAAAAGACCACAAGTCTTTACTTTGAAACCCATTTTTTCTTGAAATGTTTGTCTTGCTACAGCTTCATACTGTTGGCCATGTAAGACAGCTGGTGTTTTCAGTTTAAGAGGTTTAAAGATGCTAGAACACAGCTTCAGTCTGTTACGTCGATCAGTAGCTTTGCAAATATCCCCAAACCTGGAAGCTGTCAAACGCCATTCTCTCTCTTGGTGCCAAACTTTCGACAGATTCTGTTTCCTAGTTCTGTGTTCGATGCGGGCAATGTCCCTATCTGAAACCTAGATACGAAAAATTAAAATTTGTTCATACCAAAGAAACACTTCAAGTATATCAAAATTCATTATAAACCAGTTCTTATATTTCAAGAATTTATAATGTAACCTTATAAGAATAGTTCAGTAGCACTTTAAATTATCAATACATGTATCTTCAACTTTCACCATTCCCAGAAACTGCCATATGGAGGCATCAGTGTATTACAAACACATCATGTTTTTTTTTCTTTTCCAAAGGACATATAAATCATTACTTTTACAAAAGATTACAATTAACAAAATATTTCATTAATATCATACATTCTGAGCTGCATCTATCCAATATTCAGTGAATGGCAGGTCCAAGTAATCATGGTCCAGTACTGCAAAGTTGATAAATGCCTTGGGTTTCATGTACTTGAAAGATAAATCTGCTGACGTTAAAGCACAGTAATTGGTTACAATGTTGCTCACATAATCGTTGTATCCAGCAATTCCTCTGTATTTCTGAGGTCTTGGGTCACTAAGATCTGGGTTGTACCGACAGGGCATGTCTTCTGCTTTTATGGGGGAGCCTGTAAAATTCAAAGGTTTAAAATAAGTTGGACATTAACCAAAAAAAAAAAAAAAAAAACACACATTAGTTTATGTGTAATTTAACTTCTATTACAATTTGCCAAATATATATTTCAGTATTGTATTCCTGTACAAAGAAATCACATTTCCATCACTTTTAATTAAGTAATATATTGAATATATCAGTATTTGTAATCAATATCTGCATTAATTTAAAGCTTTCTTATTTCATGGTTTACTTATAATATACATGTACATGACTTGTAAATTTGTGGATCATATGTATTCATCTTTAGTGTATATTCAACAAAGACTGAACATAAAAACTAAATTTTGCATGCATGAGAAGAACTACCTAAAACAACTTCTCAAACTGTAGTTTTGTATACCTGTCTGTAGATCATGCAACTTTTACATTTTAAAAATATTGTGACACGGGTCACAGAATTAAAGTTGTTATATGTTACAGGGCATTATTATCTTAGCTAGCCACCCTTAGCCAATGGTGCTATCAAAAGTTGGGATTGTTTATGTCACCTGATTTCGAGTCTTACCACATACATGTACCCACAACTAGTATCATCAACAAAAATAAAGAGCGTTTTTTTTAAAAAAAAATAATAATTAAGAAGTAGCTATCGAGCGATGTTTATTTGTTCTTAAGGGTGCAAGTCTGTATCTCCAATACAGATTCCTGATCACATTATGTGCATGGATGACACTATAGCCATTTATATAATGCCACATTATCTTAGGCATGTTAGGGATCATTGTTTACCCATTTTTTTCATTCCTGAGACTTTTGAGTCAAGATGTATCCCAAATTGAGATATCGTCATATGTACAAAAGCATTTGCTTATTGATTGAACAATATCAAGAAACTCCAATCACAACTCGAGAAAAAAAAAATCCCGACTTTTGATATCACCATAGGCCAAGGGTTTGTAAGTTGAGTAGCAGACCAGAAACCCTTAGCTAGTGAAGATGGGGCATCATCATCATCAAAATTTAATATATACTGAAAAGTCGTTTGCAACTTTTGACACTTGTGTATATAAACAACAACAAATATTCAAAATTTAAATAGTCAAATTAAAAAGAAAAACATGAATAGGAAACATTTTTAAACACAGGCAGCTCAACTTGGAAAGACTTCTTTGGCTTATGAAAAGTCTGGAGATTATCTGTACATCCCCTAGGAATGGCTATAATGCGTGTTTCCCGAAATTTCACCAAGAGCAAAACAACAGCGGCTACATGTTTACAAGTTCCATTAGGGCCCTTCCCAGCAGGGCATTCACAATCTGAATTTTTAATTTCACCCGTTTTTCTGTGAATTCTTACACGATAATTGTAAGACACCTGTTAAATACAGTCAACAACATAATACTCATTACTCAGACAATCTTGATTCACTCTACATTCATACTACACACACATGTACATTGATTTTTTTTAAATCTGTTTTTAATTAGTTGTTGTTCATTTATTTTGAAACACTACCTTTTTCTTCATTGCTGCTCTGACAAATCCTGTAAGAAAAAAGTCCTCATGTTGACAGTTAATACTCAGTGCTTCAACTCTCTCTGACTCCAAGAGCAATTTTCCTTTCACAATCGCCTTTGTATTGCCCATCATTTGCCTGTCAACTGCTTGTCTGTATTGAAAATATCCTAAAAATTCCAAAAGAAAATATATACAAGTTTTACACCATCACATTGACATATTTATATTTGATATCCTCAAAACTGTTAAATTTCATGTGTGGCATACACCAAATTTTTTAACATACTTAAGCGATTTTCCCCCATATTACTGTACCTTCGATATGGGCTTCTGATATAGGGCCTATGTGGCAATAAGTCATAATGCTCTGATGTAATTTGTTTATACCCAGTGGTGGGCCAGTCTACCTTCCTTTCCGCTGGCAGCTCTATTACGGGACCGCTAAAGTTAAAATTTCGTTCGTATGCTTCCAACCTACACAGTAATATGAAATTTGTTTAACAGTTTTTGTAGGCATAATGTCAGTACAATCACTGACAATGTAGCACTCGTGTGACTTGACTCTGATAACCCTAATTATTTTAATCATATTACGATTACTTCAATGAAAATCGTTTATTTTTAACAGTATTAGTGTTTTTCTTACCTTTCTATGAGATCTGTTTTTCTTCCCGTAGTTACAGCGCCGCGCAACATCAATTCTTTTTTCAATTTCTGTACGGAGTACGAAGCGTACGCCATGTTGTTTATCTCGAATACCTCATATTACAACAGCGCCTCTAGCGGCGCGAGGGGGAGATAAGCTGTTGGCGGACCCTATTGTAGATATTGGTCACAAGTAACAATGCAGTCCTTCTAGCTTTAAATTTCTATGGCGATTCCTGCCCCTTATTCCACCTCTGAACTTTATCACTTCTCTGGTTCCATGGTTTTACCTACTTTTAACAGTCTCTCTACCATATGCTAGTAGTCATCATCAGGAAAAATCAGATCTAAATTATTTTGCTAACCTTTACTAAATACATGCATTTCTATCATACAGAACTGAACATTTATCAGTAGGGGCATTTAATTTAATTTGGATTTCTTTTTGAAGCAATCTTCTGCATTTCGGCCACATTAAAAATTTTTCAATTTCTCGTAGTTCCTCTAAATTCCATGAATATTCCTGGATTAAAATTTCCACTATACCAAAATTAAAATCTCTGTCAAGAAAATTTGGTTGAAGCTTCACTCCTTGCCTTAAAATTTCCTTTACTAAAATTTTCATGTCCATCAAGCATGCTCTAAACAAGACATCTCTCAAACCCTTTTCCTCTTTGTACTCTCCTATATGTAGTACCTCAGTGCAAGTTTCTTCATCTGATACAAAAATCAGTTGGTAAAAGGTCTGGAATGGAATCGTGGAAATGAGTGAAAGCAATACTTTTATGACTGCTGATTTTCTTGACTGAATGGCTACCTCTAGAAAAGACAATACATCTTCATCATTCCACTTCATTTCTTTTAGTATATTCGTTAATGTCTCGTTCTCCACTGTGGAATTGTCAGGAATTCCTGGTATTATGTTGCCAACAAATGAGGCATTTATAAGTTTCTTACATCCCAACTTGTTAAATTCGGTCACTAGACATGGAATATCTCTTGAACAAGCTACAAGATACGAGTTCTTAAAATCGGTGAAAGAAAGAGCACCCTCGCGTTTTTGAAATACTGCATTGGCCAACTCCTGGTTAAGTTGCTCTTTAGGAAAATGCACACAAAAGTTGAAAATATTTTTGGAACTTAGAGCCGTATGATTGTTCTCTAAGATGCATTGGCAAAGTTCTAAATCTGTTTTTCTTGCAGCCTCGTCAAAATAATTTTGAAGTGTTGATATATTTGCTTCCTCTTTCAAAAATTCTAAGCGCTCTTCACTATCGCTAAAATCGTCGTCATATGCACATACAACCTCCTCAAGGTATCCTCTTGGATCTGATAAACTCTCATCATCCGAGATAAATGCTTTTTCACTTCCTAGCTTTGTGAAAGTTTTGTAGATTTTTTCGGCGAGATCTGCTTCCTTTTGAAAATCTATGTATGTCATGTTCCGTAATAGTTTTGGTACCTCCGTATCTTCCAGCATAACTGGAATAATACAATTCCTTCTCTCCTGGACATTCTTTCTAAAGGCTTCTTGTAATTCCTGCCAACACCATCCACTGCTTACAGAAGCTGGACTGAGCAACACCAGAATTTTATCCGACTTGTCCATGAAATTTGATATGTTTTCTATAATTTCAGTTCCTGGAAGGAATTCCCGATCTGCAAAGCAACACTTCACTTTAAATCTGTTTTCAAGGTCCATCATTAACTCTGTAGCTTTGGCGGAGTTTTCAGAGCTGTGAATTATGAAGAGATCGTACTCGTATGCTTTATCCGCCATTATTCTCAATTTCGTTTTCACCACAGAGAAAGAATCAATGAACTCACGCCGGCATATGTTTATATACTGTATTATATACTTAACTTGTCTACATAAATTATGACGGGGTACTCGTATTGCATCCTTAATTATTTCCTTGGTTCTGGACGAGAATAGAAAACAATTATAATGCTTGTCGATGTCACGTACTGACGCATCACAAGCTTCGATAGCCAAATAAAAAGAAGTCCCAAGTAAAGAATCTGGGGGGATAAGACGAGCCATGTGCCCATGCCCATTTTTCGGCTATGCAAGAACATTTATTGGAAAAAATCTCTCAATTGTTCGAATTTACTTGAGCATTTTAATGTTTACCGTAGTTTTCAAAATGATATTTATATTCTAAACAAGCTAAACAGTTGACTTTCATTTACTGTCACAAATGTCTAACATGGGTAAGGACTTCTATTAATTAATCTGCATATTGAGTGTTTACACTTATTGTGGAGATATTATAAAAATGTTAACGTCGTATATAATGATAATGGTGATCTAGAAGCGCTTTTATTTAAAATAAATAAAACGGGAATAAAAGTATTCAAATATCTATTATAATTTTTATCCGGCATTTTAAATAATTTACTGTAAATAAGTTCATTATTACATATATATATTTTATTTTCAGTGAAAAATATGTTATTCCTATAGACATTTTTTATAAAGTAAAACAAAATTAAAACTAAAAAATTCAAAAAAAAAAATCAGAGCATGACTCGAACACTTTCCTCAATAAACGTCCCTTTAAAGAGCTCATCGCTAACCACTAGACCACGGAGTCACACTAACATTTCCATTTAAATAGCATACAGTTCTCTATATTTAGCAAGCGTTTTTGGACTTAGAATTTTTTAAGACCACGGTGAAAATTTAAGTAAGTTAACTTAATTTTTTATGTAAAGTGGGTCTTCAAACCAAATTTTTGCAAGTGTAAAAAGCAACATCTTTCCATTGCCTTTCATTAATCGTTCTCAAAAAAATGGTACGATGACCCACTCTATTTAAAAAATGTAGTTATATCATCCAATTTATGTCAGTTTCTGTGAAAATTGAGCGTGATGCCATTTTGTTGTGTTAATCAGAATCATTTTCGCTGTTACAGTATTCAGGTTTTGTCAAATTTATATGCAAATGGTAATAAGCATTACATTAATTCAACAAAAAGTGAAATTTTTGTAAAATGAATTTATTGATTTTTTATCGATCGTTATGTAGGCATATGGCTCGGCTTATCCCCCCAGTTTCTTTAAAGTACAATCTAAAAATAAAATCATTGACATTGCTGACGATGACACATGTGTGTGTTCCGGTATTATGTCTAGCCATGGTGCAATAAAACTTTTTTTGTGTGTTGCATCTTCTGAAACAATATTATTCGGTTTATTAGAGTTCAAATGACAGAATCACAAACAACAGTTTATCTCTCTAAATTACGCCTTTCCAAAAGGCGTTATAACACCTTTTCAAAAGGCTTTATAACGCCTTTCTAAAAGGCGTTATTATGCCGATTGAAGAGCCATTATTATGCCTTTAACAGGCCTGTGCTAAAAAATGACAAGCAATTATAAGTAAAAAAAACAAGAAACACCCCCCCCCCCAATAAAAACAAAACTGCCTAAACTCGAGGGGGATCTTTTTTCTAACTTTTCGCTATAACTTTCTTTAAATGCAATTATTTGCCAGAGTTTTACTCATCGTCGCAAGCCACGGGTTTTGTGTCCATTCTATTTCCACAACGTTTGTGGAAATAGAATTGCGACGATGAGTTTTACTTTACTGCAACACAATGTTCAGGAACAAACAGTCAATAAATGAATTTTTATATTTAAACGATGGCAAGACTATTCTCCAAAAAGTGGGGGGGGGGGGGCATGTTTGAAAAGCCGTTATATCCAGAAAAGGAAAGTCGTTATTTTATATTAATAAATATATGAAAGATTGAATCAAAGCCATCATAATTTATGCAATATTTAAAAGTATTTTCTATATTCCTGGTGGCCCGCGTGGCGCAGTGGTTAGAGCGTCTGCTCTAGAGTCGCGTAGTAAGGAGTTTATCCTTACGTCGCGGGTTAGAAACCCCACTGCGGGACGTGGAGACCGGTCCTTCGGGTGAGACCGTATAAACCGAGGTCCCGTTTCGCAGTAGGTGCTGGCACGAAAAAGATCCCTCACTGCTCAATGGCCCTGAGTGCCGAGTATAGGTCAAAATTCGTAGCCCTCCACCGGCAAATGATGGCGTCTCCATATGAGTGAAAAATTCTCGAGAGGGACTTTAACAACAAACAATCATAATCTATATTCCTGCACATCTCGCAGACAACTGTTTGCATGCGTACTAAGAAAAGTCAACACTCTACTTGTGAAAATCCAGGATATAGGCAGATGCAGCTTGGGGCTTTGCTGGCCATGTAATTAAAAATCCATGTCAAATTTGAAAATATTTTTCTCTCCTCTTGGAAAAAAGCAGGCAAACTATTTGCATGGGTATAATGGCAATTAGCTTTCAACTAAATTTGTGAAATCCATGACCCTTGGTAGAGGTGTCTGGCATCAGGTATAACATTGAAAATATATTACACATTTCAAAATCTTTTCCTGGAAATCTACTTAAAATTTGTTTAAATTATTTTTTTGAGAAATTAGCTCTATATTTGTGAAATCCATGTTCCAAAAGTAAGATTTCAGCCCCCAGGGTGGGCTAAGTTAGCCATGTATTAAAAATATAAGGCGCAATAACGCCTTTTGAAAAGGCGTAATAAAGCCTTTTAGAAAGACGCAATACCGCCTCTTGGAAAGGCTTAATAACACCTTTTGAAAATACGTAATAACGTCTTTTGTAAGGCGTAATAACACCTTTTGAGAAGGCGTAATAACGCCTTTTTGAAAGGCGTAATAACAACTTTTGAAAAGGCGTAATAGAGCCTTTTTGAAAGGCGTAATAACGCCTTTTGAACATTCGTAATAATGCCTTTTTTCGCGTTATTAAGCCTTTTTGAAAGGCGTTATTACGCCTATTTAAAAAAAAATTTCTCCATAGATTGATCCTAATAGGCTTTCGTACCTGCTATATGTCCATGATTAAAGAAGACTTTATAAGATACAAGTATAATGCATTTTCAATATATGACAAACGATGCCCCACCCTGGAGCTTGAACCCTTTACCCATGGGCCGCGAATTTCACAATTGTCGTAGGCGTTTCATAGTTTAATATAATAACCAACAGTTCGACTGCCTGATGTCCAGGGAAAAAAGGTTTTAAGATTGCATAAAGTTTTATGGTTTTGGCCACTACCCTCGGGACACATGGAGGCAGAGACCATGAAAATCTTTATTTGTGTTCCCCTTTACCAATTTATGCTAATAACCAAAATTGGTAGAAATTAGTTAAGATTAATTGTTACGACGGACACAGACAGATAGCAATAGATTACCTCAGATTAACTAAGGTGACCTACATGTAACAAACAATTTACACAAACTGGTCAGTTATTTATTTTTCATCTGGATTTTTTTATTTACTACTTTTTTATTTACATTTTTGAACTGGATTTCATTGAATTGATGTTGATAATGTGTATTTTTGCCAAGTCTTGATTTCATATATAGTTTAATCATACACCGCAAAGTTTGACGTTTTCAATCATCAGTTATCGGATGGACGGCCAAGATTCCATATCTAAACCATACCACTACTATTGTGATCTGTTAATGGCTTTGCCTACTTTGACGTTCTCTCTACCATATACTAGTAGTCATAATCAGGATAAATCGGATCTTTTATTGCGAAAATTTTCCTTAAAACATGTACTTGCATTTCTTTCATACAAAACTGTACATTTGTCAGTGGGGGTATTCAAAAGTTTCTTGATCTCAGTTCGGAGCAATCTTCTACATTTTGGCCGCGTCAAAAATTTCTCCATTTCTTGTAGTTCGCTTAAAGTCCATTGATAGTCTAGAATTAAAATTTCGACTATCCCAAAGCTGAAATCTTTGTTGAGGAAATCTGGTTGCAGCTGTACTCCTTGCTTTAATATTTCTTTCATTAAACTTTTCATGTCTTTGATACACGCTTGGAATAAAGCTTCTTGTAAACTGTTTTGGTTTGCGTACTTTTCTCTGTCAAATACCTCAGTACAAGTTTCTTCATCTAAAATTAATATCAACTGGGAAAACTGTTTGAAAGGTAAAATGGGAATGAGTGAAAGCAAAATTTCAAGTATCTTCTGGTTTTTTGTAGAAATTGCTTCGTCTATAAATAGCTTTAGGTCTCCGAATGCCCATTTTGTGCCTTTCAGAATGTTGGAGAGCGTGAAATTCTCCTCTGCAGAGGTGAGGAGTTTCATATTTGAAATTAGGTCACATACGAAAGAAACATTCAGAAGTTCCTGGCAACCCAGTTTGTTGAATTCAGCGACTAGACACCCAATGTCTCTCCAACAGGCGGCACGGTAAGCGTTCTTATAATCAGCCATTGAAAGACCACGTTCATGTTTCTGGAACACCATCTCCACTAATTCCTGGTTATATTGTTCTTTAGATAAATCTGTACAAAAGTTAAAAATGTTATTTAAACTCAGTCGAGTATGACCATTCTCCAAAATACACTGGCAAAGTTTTAAATCTTTTTTACTTAATGCTTCATCAAAATACTCTTGAAGGGTTGCTACATGTGTTTCCTCTTTCATAAGTTCTAGACTGTCTTCCAAATCGGTGAAATCTTCGTCTTCAGTTAATGAGATGTCAAATGGAATGATTGGAAATTCTTGTCGAAATGCTCTGTGTATTTTTTCGGCGGGATCTGCTTCCTTTTGAAAATCTATATATGTCATGTTCCGTAATAGTTTTGGTACCTCCGCATCTTCAAGCATAACTGGAATAATGCAATTCCTTTTCTCCTGGACATTCTTTCTAAAGGCTTCTTGTAATTCCAGCAAACACCATCCACTGCTTACAGAAGCTGGACTGAGCAGCACCAGAATTTTATCCGACTTGTCCATGAAATTTGTTACGTTTTCTATAATTTCAGTTCCTGGAAGGAATTCCCGATCTGCAAAACAACACTTCACTTTAAATCTGTTTTCAAGGTCCATCATCAAATCTCTA